AAAACCGTGGACCACAACTACTATCAACAGTGCTAACCCTCCCGAGGAGAGGATCGGATACCACCACAAGCGTAGCAGGAAGAGGAAACTTCAACGGGAAGCCGCTGTCGCCGACGGCCCACCCGCTGTATGGACGATGCACTCGAGCAGCATCCGCTTGAGGTCGAGTCGTCACTACTGGACCCATCTAGTCGACGCAACCTTGTCGACCCATGGGACCTGACAAGAGACCACCAATGGACCAGCTCGAACCGAGCAAGACCAATAACAACATACAGGGAAGCCGCCACCATACTACACTGACCTGCCGATGGTGCTTACTTATCGCTCACCGTGGCAGCAGTGCTCGTTGAAGCAGCGCCGTCTTGATCCTCTAGCATTGCTCTCCTCCGTCTCGATCGAACCTGCCTTAGGTCGGACTTGGCTTCCAACAAGTCCGCCACTGTGCGCTCCTCAAACCATCTCAAGAAGGGTACTTTCAGCAGACGCTTCGGTGACCGGACGTACCTGAAATTCCCCGTAATATGAAAACCCCAGCCCTCGAGGGCCGCCAGAGGCACTACATGTGATAAACCCTCCACAGCTTCCACGCCACAGAAATGCCCACGAGAACGTCTACAGTGTAGTGGAAATGGGTAGCAACTACCACCTGAAAGCCCACAAGGCTTCTAAGTATTGCGATAGCACAGGAGTACCGACCAGATAGCCGGCAACAGCAAGAATAGGACAGATGACATTGGGTATGAAGTGGCCCAAGACCCACGCTAGGAACGCTAAGTAGTCCTGATTGAACCTGAGCACATTACTAAACGAAATGCAAATAACGCGGCTCGCGAAACACGAGTGATGCTAGGGCTCACCCGGTCCTCCGCTTGGCATTACACATACCAGTTGATCGTACAGTAACGTATGTTCTCGAAGGCAGAAAATGTCGACAGTATTCGTTCCATATCAGCGCCATAATCGTTATGTTAGCAGCATGCCCTGTGAAGAGCGCGTCATGAGGATGGGGTAATACTTGACATTTTTACCACTGAAGAGAACATCTCCGCAAGTTGATCGAGTCCCTCCCATGACCGCCAGAGCCTCCAAAAGGATGTTTTCGTCCGGTCTGTATTCGTTAACGCAGTGGCTGTATGGGTTGGGCAGCAACGTCGCCTGAAGAAATATTTCACTCTAAGGGGAACTATGCATGCGAGTCATTCGAGCTGCTGAAATGCAAAACTCTGTACATCTACAGGAAGAAAGTTCCCATCAGACTCACCCCTATCGTTAGGCTTCTTAGTAAGAATACAGACCCTTGTATGGCACAGAACCGCTTCAATATTTTGATTCTGACAAGGACCAGCTGGGTTCACCGGGTTCTGCCATATGCACTGATGCTCGTGATACTACCTCTGAGGGTGTAAGAGCATGAACGTTAGGAGCGTGCTACCCAGGATGAAGGTTTGCCATTGATCGGCCAGATGAGGTTCCTGCGTCACAGTAGACTCAAAATGACTGCCCCCTGTAGTGGTACGTTAATGTAGGGCAGGAGAGCGAAGCCAGCGTCGGGTAAAGGATCCCAGTGCCTGTTGCCGAAGTACTGCTGAGCATATAAACGATCGATGTAGACTTGCACCTAAGCGAGTTCGTGTTATGCGTATGTCACGTGCACTCCGGCATATTACCATGCAGTTCCAAACAGAGCAGGAGAAGAGCCATACTGCTGCTGCGAGAAACTGTAGAGTAAACGCCTCTCGAAAGGGGAGGAACACCCACCGCAGTATGTCGATGAAGAAACTTGGTGATGAGGTGACCATAGTAATAAAGAATTGTCCAAGATTGGACTGAAACAATAGATTTTTATGCTTCAGAGGATTCTGCGTCGTAGTAGTTCAAACAGAGTATGATGTGCACTGCTATACAGGCGATCCCGGTTCAAATCGCGGTCAGTTTACTTTTATTCACGACTACAACCCGAGTCGGCGCTCCTTCCGGTTGCTCATACCTGTCGAGCCATGGATTCTAGTTGCCAGTTTTGCGGTGCACGCATGTTTCATGGTGAACCAACCGCCAACTCTACATCTGTAAACACTATATTCGGTACGAGATGCTGTGGAAAGGGACGCATAGAGGTAAACGACATATTCCTATGAATTATCAACTTGTGTCAACGAGTTATAATCTCTTTACGACTCTCCAGAAAGGCATGAATGTCTGTGCTGCTAGCGATTGGCCTCAGTGACGTTATTCACGTGACCATTTTGAGAACATGCGAACATATCGATCATAGAAGGGATACATCAGAATCGGTCATTCTAGCCTGGGCTTTCCCCACCCAGGCTGGGAAAGACGCTCACTGCTCTCTTCTACTGGTGAGCAGTTCCGGAATCTGATCAGTTTTCGACAAAAAAATTCTAACTGTCCCTTCCTGTAACCGCTTGGTTCCCTGCTGCCTATGTTTACTTTTCTGGCTTCCCACATGCGCATGTCTAGCGATAGTGTCAGAGTTGGCCTGTTATGAAGTTGCGCGACACAATCTGTTGGTTCTTCTAGCGTCGTGGTTGGGCGGATATGTCTGTGATAATTTGAGAGTTTATCGTACTATGTTGATCGGCAAATTTCGATGTATCGGCAGCCCGGTGACTGTGACTCATGAATGTAACTTCAGTTTCATTTTCGCCAATCCATGGTTTTGGGAGTTGATCATCTCGTCGCTGACATCCTCGCCGTTCAAGAAGCGTTCAGCGATGACATTCCGCTAGAGTTGCTCGATTCGGTCATGGACTACATTGGTCCCCGAAAGCCGCAGAAACTGTGTCGTGAGAGTAGAGTCAGATGCCAACAGTGCTGCGATGGCAGTTGGTGGCACCGCCAAGTGGAGGCCCACAAGGGCCATGCCTTCGACCCTGTACGTCAACTCCAGTACGAAATCATGGAAGGCTCTGTCGTGAGTAAGCAGGGCTCCTGCTGTCAACCAGTGAAGGTCGGCGACTCAACTGGTCATTGGGGCATTCTTGCTTGCCATAAGGATCGGCTTTACGTTGGTATCGATTATGATGGTGCCGACAAGTCCATCAAAGAAGTCGACGTGCGCAGTGGGAGGAGTCGAGCCGCTGTGAAGCCAGAGTTCAAGCCTACTGTTTTTGATGTTGCTGACCGCCAGGAGCATGGTTTACGGTTCAGCTACCTCGATCCTTGTCAGCGGAATTGTGTCTTCGTCGTTGATGAAGGCTGTGAGAAGGAAAGGCGTATAAGCCTTCCTAGTGTCAGCGGCTCTGTGCGTTTCATCACTCCTAATGTCATTTGTGCAAGTGTCTCTCGTCATTACGAGCTCAGACTTGCCCTTGTGGAAATCGGTGATGATGACGAAACGCCTGAGTACCTGGACGACTTTGATCTGGGTGTTGCTGGTATGTATATCAGAGGGATGGAGATAAGCCCTTGTGGTCATATTCTCCAAGTCAGGACTCGAGAGAAAACGATCGAGATTGGTGTACACTATGCTTGATCGCTTTTCGAGTTACTTGGGCTCTGTTAGAAGTGCGCAAATTATATATAGTATCTTTTCTGTCTCCTTTTTTTGCAAATTCATGATCATGTTTGATCGGATTCGCCTTTGTAAGCCAATTTTCATGTACACTGCTACAAGAATCGAGTTGGCGTCGTAACTATTCTACTCTGTGTTTTCTTTTTGTGCATTATGGATGATTTCCTGGAACTTCCACACACTGTTGTGTCGATGTTGTGATACGATGAGTTTTCTATCTCTCCGTTGGTCAGGGATTATTGTGTTTTTCACGATGACCAAGATCCGCAACTATGTAAACTAACTCGTGAGTCAAGGTGCAAGGCGCACGCACTGAGACGTCTGAGACGGTTAGCAGTGGAGTTTCGTAACTTCCATACATCAATGCACGGACTCGCATGCGGTGTGCTAGCCCTCGTATAGAAATACACCATGACCAAGTCAGATATGACTCCTGCTACCAATGACGCCACGGTAACCACCCGGCCAAGAATGCTCACACCGCTCGTATGACCTTCGACTCAGCTACTATCCCGCCGCGTCTCTATCGTGACACAGCGGAGAAGACGCACAAGTGGCTGTGCTCATAATACCGATACCTTTTGGTTACCATACAGATCCCGAAGTGCGACTTATAAGGAGCAGGTTGGGTTGAGATTAACCATATACTGAAGACTTGTAGCAAGAAGGCATTCGCGAATCGATTCGGGCTGCTTCACTCCAGCCGAGTCTCTTTCTTTGATGTATCTCAGTCTAACTGCTCGGATCGACTCAGGTCAGGAGAGTATTCCGTAGCTATCCGGTTCTCTCTGTACTTGGCGGTTTTCCGTGGATTCTTTTGGGAATCCGAACGGAATTCGGTCAATCACCAGGGATCACATCATCCTGTAACAGCCACAAAGTCCGACTCACTCCCGAGAGAATCACCGGCCTCGCTATGTTTCACACCGTGCAGTTGCTGATGACCTGGATGGAACCTCTCCGGGCAGCTTCACTGCCATTAGCTATTATAGAGAGACAACAGATCCTTCATGTATCCACAGGTGTCGTTCAGCCCGAGATCACGAGGGAGACCGAATGAACTGACGCTGGGGGTCTTCCAGCAACTTCACTTACTCCACTCCTCCAACTCCGATTATATGTAAACTCAACAGAGATGGCATCGATACTGTGCATGAATGAATTATTATGCTGGATACTCGGGTATCACGACAAAACTAACTAAAAAGTTCATACCCTAAAAGTGCATGTATAAGATGAAAATAATTGCATTTACGGAGTACTGAAGAATACAATGTGAACCAAAACAGTTCCGCTGTCAACACTGTGGTGTTGAGGCATAATCTCATCGGCAATGGCCTTCTTTTCGAATGAACACAGAGAATAATGTCATTCTTTAGAGAGAGATGGATATATTTTATCTGATCCATTTTAAAATGGATCAGCCAACTTTGGTAGGCTAAAAAAACTTCAAGCGAAGGCATGCCACTTATCTCCAACTGGTTGTCCGTTACTGGAGTCATCATCTCCAGTCTCAGGAACGAACACGGCTAGGCGAATACGCTCAGGTGTCACAGGGCAGACAAGTTCGAAGTGTTTTCGATTCCCTCGTGAAGCGTAGATGGCCTCCTTGATAGCATAATATACCTGAGGATCGTTCACAGATCGACACAGCAAGACACACCGTTGCGAGTTCTGGACTCTCCTTCACTTACACTAGCGGCTCCAAATAGTGGAGGCTCTCCCACCGCCTTGCTGGCCCGAATAGTGGGACTGCTAGTCCTGTCGTACAGTGTGACACGAAAATCACAAGGTATATCATCGAACGAGGGGATTTTATACATCCCAGGTCCCTATAGAACGGGTGTTGAAGAAATAGACATCGCCGTCAGTCGGTTTACACGAGTGACCAAGCGACCTTGGTGATCATAGATTGGCTCCTCCATACAAAAAAGGCCGTAGCCCTGTACGAATGCACCCTCGATCTGTCCGATATCGACAGCAGGATTGAGAGACTTCCCGACATCATGAAGTATGTCCACGCGTAACTGGAGATGCAAGACTTTCGGTGGATCGAGCCGGCGAACGCGTACAACTCGCGCCTCTCCGGTGAGCAGATCGACTTCAACTTCCGAAGCAGCAGCTCCGTAAGCATAGTAATAAAACGGGCATGAGTTGAACGTATTGACCTGGATTAGAGCAGCTGCACAGATCTCAACTCTGTTCAGCGGGGTTATCATAGATCAATAAATTCACCCCTTTTTTAGACCAGTCAGCTCCGGTTATCTCGGGGGTCCTATAATATCCTACAGCACTAAGACATATACGGTCGAACCTGGGTATGGTTAGGAAAGGACATGGCAGAGGCTCGACAATGACAATTTCCTTACCATGCTTTGGTGGCTGCATTCGCTAGTCTTGTCTGGGGGTCGACAATCGAGAAGTCGATGTACTCCTGAAATCCCCGAATCCATCTCTCACGCCGGTCCATAGTGCACGCGATGCTCACCTCGATAGCCTTATTGAGTTGTCTGCAAGCATCGACCGCGGCGTTCGCATTTAGATCGGTTCCGACAGAGGCAGCAGTAGCCACTCCATTTGCCGCCCTGCTAGTATTTGCCTCAGAGATGTGAACTGCCTCAACAGGAACGCCCAACTCGCTGGCTACAACCTGCACAGACGTACCCCGACAGACACTCCAGTTTCAAACAGCGCGCACCTGAGATATCTTAGTATTGAGACCTTGCCCCATCTCTACTCCGACATGACACACTTGTACTGATCCATCTTTTTGCAAAGTAATGAGTGATGAGGCCTGGTTCAAGTGTGGGCTGGTGAACGATACCCCGAACCTGGCAACTATGATAACCCTAGGAAACACGCCGATGCGTATGTTACCGTATTGGCACTGCAGCGATGCCCCGCTTCACATACTGATTACGGCTGTTAAACTCGGCGACATCAGTACGCCGCTTATGAAATTCCGAATCCCTCATAAGCTTGGTCCACATATCCTCCGATGGCACCTGTCCAGTTCGCTAATCCCGGCGACCGAGCGAGCCTACAAGGAAAAACAGTCACCTCTCAGCTCACCTCGTTCCCCAGGTAGTGATTATAGTGAGTCAAGCTCCTCTCGCTATCAAGGCCATGGGCCCAGTTGGCCTCTTCTAACTCTTCCCGTGTGATTCCCAGTTCGCAGGCAGCATGCTCGTACATCGCCTGAACACTCGGAAGAGCGAACCGAATGCACGTGCACGCGAAGCTCTACTTCAGCAACTGCTTGACCTTGGGGCCCACCGAAGCCGCGGAAGGCAGTATTGCTCTCAATATTGGTCTTCGCTACGCGACCTGATGAAGACACGGCCAGTAGACACAGATCAACGGAATCCGAATGCCTAGTACCAGTAACTCGAACGTTGCGCACAAAACAGGCATTCGTCATGTGCATCATCCCTCTGTCGACCACGCACTCCGATAAATCAAGCGAATATCCCCCGTTTGCCTACGGAAAACACACATCGTTCCGAAGTGATACCCCGGCGAATTGACCTACATATAAATCAACATCAGCGGCAATCAGCGCTTTGTCCGCCCGACGGACAGCAATCGTGTAGTCTGCCAGGAACGAATGCCTCTTGCCGCTGTTGGACATGTCGACATCACGATTCATTTGAAACCTACACAGATAACCTATCTTTATCAGGGAGCTCTCCAGTCTTTCACAGTCTTCACCTAGCAGGTCTATTGAATTTCACAGCAGCTAGAGCAGCATAGGGGGCCAAGATGCAAGCGCGGGTCTCTTTCCCTCCAAAGCCGCCACCTAGACGTGGAACGCACGAGATGCTCGGCTGCTATGCAGCAGCTACTACCAATTCTCTTGGTACGAACAACAACCCTATTGAAGGGTATGCCCAAGACTTCAGCGATGTTCATTTGTGTCTCATGCGGATTTTGCGTGGATGAAAATACTTCAATCTCCGTTCCTCCATCAGTAGGAACAGCACGAGCGCCCTGGAGAGACTGGTGCAATGCGCTGAGATATGCAATATGGACGTACTTGAGTCTCAAAGTAGAAGTGTTCTTGGCCGGCCATTTTGAATCGACCGCTGACGACAGCGTACTCGTCGGGTCGAGATCGACAAAATTCGATAACTTCTTCAATGTTCGATCCCAAGTGGAGATCCAGGACTGTATGAATGCATGCATAGTCTCCACCACCTACCCTATGAAGCAGCTGCCCAAGAAAAATGACCGATGAGTAAGTACCACGTACCCACGAACTTGAGTTGATGAAAGCTCCGTTCGCGAATAGCATCTTCGATACTAACAATCGGTGACGGACGGTCCTCCGAGTAGGTCACCTGGTAATACAGGAAATGACACGACTCGCATGGTATGGTCCTGAGCAGGTTTGTCAAGCGATTTGCATCCTGTACCTTGACAGCTGCAGCGGCAACACGAGCAGCGTATCGATCGGTCGCCACGACTACTGCCAGAATCTAAGCGGGGAATGACAGCTCGGGACGATACACGACCTCACTTGGCCACAATAAGATACGTTGGAGCCAGCATCGAAAACAGCGAAGAGAGGTTCGTCGTGGACGATTGCGCCAAGCGAGCGGATGCCATTACAGTCTTTGTGAGTAACCTGAGCATAGCACTACCCGCAAGCATAAAAAGTTTGGGTCAATACCTCGCCAACGAACCCGTTAACTTCGGGACACGCAGAGAAATCCATCGAGATAACCGAGCCAGTAGATTGCGTAGAAAGCACAAAGTCGAGAAAGAGCTCACTCTGGCTACAGGCGAAATCGTCGAAAAAATCGGCGCATCCACGGACCTGAGTACCGCGAGAATTTTCGACATGCGTGATGAGATAGCTATACCTGTTTGTCTGCTGCCACATGGTTCACTGATTTGCCAACTGGATCGAGATGGTCTCCCAAAGGTGTGTAGTACTGAAGTCCACGCTTGTGGACGGGTGCGAACCCATATCTACATCCTCAGCGGTACTCGAGCCACGAAGTAGCGCTACATACTCCGTCGAGCCAGCAGGTAGTCCCATGCAGAACTTGTATAGGAGAGACCGAGCCACAGCCATGCGATACTTAGTCATCCCTAATGCGGGGAGCACCACTCCTCTAGACACTCCAACTCGGTCGCTGCGCTCACCCCCGGGGGTCGCCGGAGCCAAAGTGAATTCGCTTCTGGCAGTTTCCATGATTCTCCGAGTTGTTTCGATACAGCCAACACGATGTCCATTCAACGATCCCTCGGTTCGGTATCCACGAATCTAATGAAGATTTATTTCTCCTAGTAGGGAAAATTCTAATAGGTAGCCTTACGGTGGTAGGGGCCATACCACCGAGAGCTACTCGAGCTTCAGAAATTACACCTTCTACCAAACGAGCTGCAATGGCAACATTCACGATGGCAAGGTCGTCTTGACGACGACGCGACTGCTTGAAGACTCGGAAACTGAAGACGAGCCGGCATGGGAGGAGGGGAAGTCAGGAATCCTGACTCAGAATCGTCAACAGCCCTACATGTCGTAGCGGAGGGGGACCGTGACACTGACCAAAATTTCGTTATCTTGCAGATCAACTTTACGATATGAGAGAAAAAAATCATCCGCGGCAACCTAACGGGAATACGCGCAATGCTTGCGAGGGCAAAAAAGGATCACATCTCTGTATTTGACTTCAGCGGACTCTAGCATCGCTATCCGAAAAGTAGCTCCTGCAGCTACCCATATAACGTTAAGATCTGACAAGGGCACTCAACCATTGCTGCCCCAGCTGTGGCCTACCAGAGATCGGGCTGGCCGTAACTATATTGCCTCCCAACGTAGCGAGGTTACGCACATGCTCAGATGCGAAAAGGCGAAGCATGGCAACCACCCCTCGGAGGCTGACCCAAAACGACCAGAATACAATTGTGGTAGCGTCCCGGGTCGAAATAGTCATGGCGATACCTACACGTCGGATCCGCAGTATTCCACCTCTTGGATGAGCTCCTTCAGAGTGGTTAACGACACGGCAGACCCGATAGTAGCATGATCGCCATTTCGCTCGAGCTTCACCGAGTTCATATCGCCCTCGACCTGTGATCTCGACCGTCAAATTTACTCTCCGGCATTCTCGTTTACTCTGGAAGTTGATACTAATGCCATGGGATAAGCATGATCATTTCGAAAAAATTTGTCGATTCTTCGCTCAGAATGACCCCCGGCAAGCCTGACAACACGACTTGCTTGCTATTCAGGTTAGGTAACTCCACTTCAGAGAGTGATGACACTGCTTCAACTTGCCTGTAGTTTCCAACGTATGTGATGATAGTCAAGATCTCGAGAAGAGAAGTGGGCCGATAGTAATCACATGAGTGCCCGAGGTGATGTCCGCGCAGGATAACCGATCGATTAGGGTTGCCGGGAAGCTCTTTGTCTTTGACAATCCCCCCCGAATGCGCGTAGAACTGAGGAGTCTGGTCCCTGATAATAGTAGTTGTAGTAGTGGTCAGGGAGATTCCACTCGAGGGTGAGTCGTCGTGAGAAGGGTCCACAGCCTAAGTAGACAATATTAACATTTCAGGAACAAGTCCTATTCTCTGGACTCCAGAGTCTGGAGGTCAGTCTCGCTCCCAATTCACCCCATGCGGATCTTCCCCGTCTCCCTTTGAGGATTCGACCAAGTTGTACACGCCCTGTAGGATGGGTCGGTAGCCAGTACAGCGACAGAGGTTTCCATCGAGAGATTCTTCGATATCTCGAGCCTAATAGGCTTCCAAACCTTGTCTCAGTAGCCTGTGTAACTGCTAAGGTTCACTTGTCTCTTTCCATCCGCCCATTTCGCGTAAATGCTCATAACCATTCCAGGTGTACAGTAGCCACACTGGGAGCCATGCGCCTCAACTAGACTTCTCTGGATCGGGTGCAACGTAGTGTTTGCTGGCCCTGCCGGGAAAGTACTCCGCATGACGCCTTCCAAGATTACGAAGCGAGCGAGACCCACCATGTCTTCTCGAGTTGCACGCGCCGGCCCTTGTACTGCTATCACTTGCGTCACACTTGGCCTCGCAATCATCGCCCTGCAGGATCACATTCGCTCACCACTGCATGGATAGTCTCATCGACTCACTTTGACACCCTCGATCGTAGTTACTTCACACCCAGAAACATCGCAGACGGACACTAGGCACGAGTTCACAGATCGATGCACGGGCTAAAAAATGCCGAGAATTGGTATCGCTAGGGAGTCGAGAACACCGACCTTGCCGGTAACGATGTCGGTAGTGAACACAGACACCGTGCAGGCACCGCACCCCCCTTCCCCACAGACCAACTTGGCACCACACAGTCCAGATGCCCTCAGCCACTCTAATAGAGTGCACTCCGGGTCAATATTCTGCACGTGAACAGGCCTGAACATTGCTCAGTGAACAATACAGGGCGAGCAGTTGTTTCGATGCTCTGACGCATAACATTGGATGCTCCTGAAGAGTCGTCAGACATATGCTTGCTTACATCCCATTGACGGTAAATCGAAGCTCCTTGATGGCCCGATCTTCGTAATATTTGATCAGTTTCTCTGCGTCGCCACTCTTGGTGTGAGGAGCCGCTCGTTTCATAGTGCAGACCGGAAGATTGCTGATCGCTGAATGAGCTCCAGACAGTCACCTTGTACGTATGTATATGCGAGGTGTGTCTGTGTTGCTATGCACGCTATCTGTTTCAGTGCGTAGTAGACCTCCATCGCAACACCGTCACCGCTGCCTCTCATCATGTTGTGTGTGCGTACACATAGAACTCTTTCAAGGGTTCGTTAGCAACACTTCAAACTATGCGCAGGAGAGCGCACCAACGGATCACTCAGGAAGGGGGATGGACAACGAGAGAGCGAAGTCCGTAGCCCGCTTCCCCCCGGGCGGGAGAGTGAGCAAGAACGACTACTCCCTGACGGTCGTTAGAGCCCTCAGCGCGTGGGCTGACTTCGACCACCGCGTGACGCGGCAGGGTGACCTCGACAGCTGCACATGCCTGCGAGTCTCCTCCGGACCCCGAGAGTTTTACTTCGTTACACACCTATACCGTCCAATTTTCAACTGAGGATCGATCCTCTTGATCAGTGTGCTGTACTGAAATTGGAACACTAGCCATTTGGCTCAATGAGAGTACTGTCATAATTTCCCCGGTAACACGAAATTGAAGTTCCGGACAACGAAGTCGATTTTCCTAAAGGGACGAAATTGAAGGTCTGAAGGTGCACTCGACGGAATTGAAAGCTCTGTGACGAATTAGAAGGTTCGAAAGTCGAAATTAAAAATTCTATTAACACGAACGTGAACGTCCTATCGACTTCGGATGAACTCGAATGTTCTATGACGAAGTTGAAAGTTCTAATTATGAATATGATCTTCCCGTTTCGGATTCGTACCTCAAACTTCGCGCGTCCCGACGGAATTGATAGTTCCAAAAACGAACTAGATGTTTAAAAGGTGCAGTCGATGCTCTAGGCTAACCTCTGCGGAAATCAACTTTACGAGAGTGGTTACGAAGAGAACTTGGAGATGGCAGGGATTCGTGGGCCGACCGCTTTCTGCATGCACAGTCTGCGACGGAAGCGTTTGGACGATGGACTCGTCGTGCGTCGACATATACATCGAAGAGGCACTGGCATCGGTCTGCAGGCGAACGAACAGCTGCGGCAGGTGCGAGATGGGCGCTTCCGAATATGGTCCGACTCATCGGTGCTGGGACTTCCCACATTCCGAAGAGACGGAGAGCGAGGGCTGGCCGCAGATGGTGGCAACTTCGAAAAACGTCGCGAATCATTAGCTCAGGAGGGGCCAGCAGCTGCAGACGATGCCTGATCCAGCACGGGTATGGTTGCGCCGTATGTAATTGATTTGGTGGCAGAGCTATCTGATAGCAATAGAAGGTGGGCTGATTCAGCCCAACAGCTCTCTTGTGTTAGCAGAAAGTCGAAGCAGATCTAGATCGTTCAGGAATTCCTCATCTCAGCGGTAGTGTGTTACTGTGCCCCCATCATGCCATGGATGATCCGGATCCCTTGTTGGGTGAGGCAGGTCCCTTGGTGAGTTGGATGATTGTGGATCTGCTGATGGCAGAGATCATGGCTCCACTCTCCATCGGGACCTCGTGGTATCACGGATCATTTCATGGCCCAAGGGCGGGATTGTCGGGTTCGACAAGCGGGTGGGACTGCAATGAGCGAGGTGCTTTGCAGCTTCAAAGGATCCTGCGTTGTAGTAGTTCAAACAGAGTATGAT